CAATTAGGCCAAACAACATGGAGTCGGCTTCCGTGGCAATCAGGAACCTGGGCGAGATGTCATTACCTGCTGCCCAGTTTCCTGATTACCAGGGAAGTCTGCTCCATGCCAGCGGAAGCACCGGTATTAGTATTCAGTGTCGGCGAGATCCGAAAGCAAAAAAATCGGTACTCGTACTCTATACCGAAAAACCGGTATTGGTGCATCCTTAGTTTTGATTAAAACTATTTTTTGTATTGGGACAAGTAGATTGTCATGAAGGACAAGTAGAATTGGCCCACACTTTAGCCCTTGGACAAGTAGTTATTTTTTTTAATTTCCACACCCCTGAGTTAGGAATCAATCACTCTCCTTGGACGCATCGATCGCGAATCCAGGGATAGTGATGTCTTCCTAACTGCATGTGATCTTACCACATAAGATTGCATGCAGTGTGCCAGCGTTCTGCCACTTCAAATGCAGCAGCTGTCACCTGATCATTAAAGTGACATTAAAGGCTCCATTGCCCCCCCCATACTGCTTTAAGTACTTACCTTATGTGATGCTTCTTGATGTGAACATGTTCTTCCTTCCACTCGTTTCCAGGAGTCCCTCCACCACTGGTGCTGGTCTCTGATCCAGCGCAGACTCCTATTTCTTCCCGTGTCCCAGAGTCTGTTGGGTGTGCATGCTCCCGGCTGCGTGCATTCACTTACAGAGTCTCTCCTGCTCTCCCCTCCGGTGCTATTGAGTGTGCACAGCCGCTCGGAAAGATGTGTTCTGCAGCCGAGAGCGAGCGGCGCAGACACAGGTAAGTTATTACTTAATTGACAATTTTTTTTAAATGTTGGGACATACATCTACTGCTTGCTAACAGTTGATATATGTAAAAAAATGGAGACTTTAATACTACTTTAACTCTAACAGGTGACAGCAGCCGCTTGTGATGGAAGATTTGGAATTCCTGCTGCAGTAATTTCAGATGGAACCTACTTGGTAGGGGTTAGTGAAGCCTTATAAAATCAGCCCCAATCCAGCCGCCAACCATTGTACACATACACACGTTCACCTGCATATGGAGCGCTCAGGCAGCGGCTTGTTACATAGTTACATAGTATTTGAGGTTGAATAAAAGACATTAGTCCATCAAGTCCAACCTATTAGGACTTAAAAATGAGGATTAATGGTCTAGTTATAACCTGGCTTAATTCCTTAAGTACCTTGGGGTGCAGGTTATCCGGACCCACTGCTTTGTTTGCATTGAGCATTTTAAGTCTTTGTTGTATTCTGGTTTCCGTCAACCACTGGGGTATATTTTGAGTTAAACTGGGAGTTTTATCATGTGTGTCAAACCCGTTTCCCTCCTGAGTGTATACTGAGGAGAAAAAAGCGTTCAGCGCCTCGGCCCTCTCCTTGTCGTTTGTGACTAGCTTCCCGCTTCCATTCTTTATTGGGCCTATCTGCTCCTTTCTCACCTTTTTACTGTCATAAGGGAAAGCAGTAGTGTACGGCTTGGAAAACTCATCGCAGATAATCAATGATTGCAGGTTTCTCAGGATCAGGGCATTGTGGGGCAGAATCAGTTCATAATGGATACAGTTTATAAATAGCTTACCATTAGGGCTGCAACAACTAATCGACATAATCGATTATTGAAAAAGTTGTCAACTTAATCGGCTTCTGATTGGTTGGCCCTGCTCACGGCTCCACCTCACGCTCGCCGCTGCCAGACCTGCCCGCATCCACGCTTTGCACATCCTCCGCGCCTCACGCTCACCGCCCGCATCCACGATCCACGATCGGCACAGGGACGCGGGGAGAAGTAAGGAGGAGCAGGTGTGGGCGGATGACAGCCACCGATAGACAGACCCGATCTCAGAAACAAGTTGCTGGAAGACTGCTCAGGTAAGCCTGCACTCCCACCCACACATGGTGCTCTATAATGTATTGCTGGGATTTGTATTCCTCTATAGCTGATGGTACATTGTGATGTATATTATACATATGAATACAAATCCCAGCAATACATTGTACACTGTATGTATAATGTATTGCTGGGATTTGTTGTACTCCTATATAGCTGGTGGTATTCTGCATTGCGCTGTATAGAGGACTACAAATCAAGGAATACCACCAGCAATGCGGAATACCACCAGCTATAGAGTACAACAAATCCCAGCAATAATACATTATATAGTGGTGCAATGCCGAATACCGCCAGCTATAGAGGACTACAAAACCCAGCAATAGTACATTATACAGCACAATGCAGAATACCGCCAGCTATAATGTACTATTGCTGGGATTTGTTGTATTCCTATATAGCTGGTGATATTCTGCGTTGTGCTGTATAATGTACTATTGCTGGGATTTGGAGTCCTCTATAGCCGATGCCATTCTGCATTCATTGCTGTATAATTTTACACTTTTAATTTCACTATATTGCACACCACACTTTTTTTTTCTTTTTTACTTCCACCACTCCAAGCTTGCTCCCGTGATGGACTGCAATCTCAATGCAAACGAGAAGTCCTATCACTGGAGCCATTTTTTAAAATTTATTTTATTTTTTATCCGATTAATCGAACTTAATAAATCGGCTAACTAATCGATTTGGAAAATAATCGTTAGCTGCAGCTCTAGTTACCATTCTATAAAATCATAATGTACACCCTTAAGGCTTGGGCGTTCGTAATATGCGCGTTTTTACCGCGGTCAATGAAACGTCCGACAAACGCGTGTTTACGAGGGCTATCCGGCTGTATCCTAATGGATAAGCGCAGAAATACGCCCCAAAGAAGCTCCTGTACTTCTTTGGGCGTAGGGCTTTTTTCAGCGCGTTCCTACGCACTGAAATACGCCCAGGTGGGAACCCATGCCCATAGGAAATGATGGGATTTCACTTGCTGGGCGTTTTACAGCGCGTCGATCAGCGCTGTAAAACGCCCAGCTGTGAACCAAGTGGATTAGAGAGCTCCGGGCTTCCTGAAGGGACAACAAAGTGAAAGGTGACTGACTATCCTGGCAGCCAGCAGAAGACGTGGCCTGTCACATTACAGCGTGTGGCCCGTGTTTTACCTCTGCCCAGACTACGGACATTCCTCTATTTACATACTGGATTCTTAACTGGCAGGAAAAGAGCTTTACAAGTAGTATTTAATACTTATTTTTTTTTCAATAATGAGTCCAGATCAAACAAATATCCATTAGCAGGCAAAGTGTTTTTTTTTATACGATTTTGCCCAAACACTTACAGTCATCGTGTTTCTGAACAGCTCCAACTCTCTCAGCTTCGCTGAACTTCCTGCCTAGTACAAGATCACATGGGACAGCAGCAGCCATCCATCTAAAAAGCTTGGAGAGGTAAGGAAGGAGGAGAGGAGTGACTTGGAGTGAGGAGTGACTTGGCTTGCCTTGCTGTGTTTGTGGAGACACACACAGCATACTAGCACACACAAGGGTGGCTCCATAGGACCCTGCAAGGGAAAGAAGCCACCCTAAAACAGGATACCAGGGCCAGTGCTCAGGGGATTCTGTAGGAAGCTAAAACTTTTAATCATCAAGAAGCAGCCTCCATTGGAAGTGATTTAATCAGCATTAGCTTACGTTTTTCTCTCAATATAACTTTAAAGGAGAATTATGTGGAGAGTGAAATACAAACATCCCCATTAGAGCCGACCCCGTGACACTGCAGCTTTAACCTGTTGGCTCTATTGATCGGGAACTGAGTGATCATGTACCGCTGATTGTTGACATCATGACCCTCTCCCTGCAGAGATCAGTGACCATCATTCACCACCTCCCGAAGGGATTCCCCCCTCCCCTCTCTGATCCTCCAGTGCTGACTGGAGGGATATAGACGGGGGGAGGAGACACGCACAGCAGGTAGCGGGCAATAGCACGCTATATGCAGAGTTTCATGTAAAGGTCAAAAGAGCTATGGCAAAAAAACATTGGGCCACAGTTCTCTTTTACCACAAGTTACCCCGACCTCTGTAGCTGCTTGTCATGTGACGATCCTAACACCCAGTCACACTTGTCTGCTTTCATTCAGTAAAACTTCTGCGTTGGCTGCATGAATATACATTGGAAGTACAAAGCCCATCATTTCCTAAGTGTCCGCTTGCCATCTATGGGAGGCCGTTTAGTGTGAATGACAAATGGACATTATTCACAGGTACAATCACAACAAAGACTTTGCCAATCACACCAGATCCAAGACTATGTGGTCCCGTACACAGACTGTACCAATCACACCAGATCCAGAACTATGTGGTCCTATACACACAGACTGTACCAATCACACCAGATCCAAGACTATGTGGTCCTATACACACAGACTGTACCAATCACATCAGATCCAAGACTATGTGGTCCTATACACACAGACTGTACCAATCACACCAGATCCAGGACTATGTGGTCCTATACACACAGACTGTACCAATCACACCAGATCCAGCACTATGTGGTCCTATACACACAGACTGTACCAATCACACCAGATCCAGGACTATGTGATCCTATACACACAGACTGTACCAATCACACCAGATCCAGGAAGTAAATGTGTGCTAGACCAAAGAAGTCTAGCCACTATTGAGGAACTGCAGATCCCAGCAAGCCTTGTCACTGTCCCTATGCTGGGAAGTCCCAGTACAGCAGAGAAGTCCATGTGTATTTTCTGCAGGCTGTGTACAGGGGACAGGACGTGCTCATTGTGGATGAGGTCTGAGTCGCCTATACATTCCTCTATCCCCTCCAGACATCGCCACGACCAAACCGGGCAATGATACTCCGGGCTCCGGGAATACTCACCATGTCTCCGGGTCCTCCTGTTCTCTACCCTGACTGACGTGGAGCTTCCGGGAGACCAGGCCGATCTCGCGATTGTCCAACGAATACACTTCCGATTGGCGATCAGTTCCTGAGACGTGCCGCCGCCATCTTGTGACTGGCGAGTGTCACAAATCCGTGACGTGGCTTGAAGATTAAAAGCGGCCATGCTGTGATTGGCGGATGTCCTCGGGGTGTGTATTTCCGGCCTGAATGCGTGCTCCCGACCGACAAGCGCGCTCTTGGTACATCCATGCTCGTTCTGGACACCACTCATGCGCGTTCCAAGTGGTTCTATTCCTTCCCTTTCCTGTAACGTTGTGTGACTTCCGCTCCCGGAGTGCTCCGCGCCGCATCATGGACCATAGCGGTGAGTGTGGGGGGATCGGCGGTACGGGCTGCAGACTTCACCCTGCTGTCCCTTCCCTGCTGGTCCTATCATGGCTCTCCGTTTGTCCTCGACACCCTCCCACGCCCTGCCAGTGCGGGGCGCCGCCAAATCTGCTGTGCCTGCTTCCTGCTCCTATGACGGAGACTAAGGCCTGGGCCGCCCTCTTCCTGATAGGAAAGGAGTGAGGGGACCTCCGAGCTGTCAGTGTTCAACCCAACCAAAACTTCTCCATCACTGATTCCACAATACACTTGTCAGTGCTGAACCCAGCCAAGACTTCTTCATCACTGATTCCCCAATACACTGTCAGTGCTGAACCCAGCCAAGACTTCCCCATCACTGATCCACCAATATGCTGTCAGTGCTAAGTCCAGCCAAGACTTCTCCATCACTGATCCCCCAATACACTATCAGTGCTGAACCCAACCAAGACCTCTCCATCACTGATCCACCAATAGACTGTCAGTGCTGAACCCAGCCAAGACTTCTCCATCACTGATCCCCTCCTATACACCATCAGTGCTGAACCCAACCAAGACTTCTCCATCACTGATCCCCCCCCCAATACAGTGTCAGTTCTGAACCCAACCAAGACTTCTCCATCCCTGATCCCCTCCTATACACCATCAGTGCTGAACCCAACCAAGACTTCTCCATCACTGATTCCCCAATACACTGTCAGTGCTGAACCCAACCAAGACTTCCCCATCACTGATCCACCAATATGCTGTCAGTGCTGAGTCCAGCCAAGACTTCCCCATCACTGATCCACCAATACGCTGTCAGTGCTGAGCCCAGCCAAGACTTCCCCATCACCCCCCCCAATACACTATCAGTGATGAACCCAGCCAAGACTTCTCCATCACTGATCCACCAATACACTGTCAGTGCTGTACCCAGCCAAGACTTCTCCATCACTGATCCATCAATACACTATCAGTGCTGAACCCAGCCCAGCTCAGACTTCCCCATCATTGATCCCCCAATAGACTGCCAGTGCTGAGCCCAGCCAGGACTTCTCCATCACTGATCCCCCAATACACTCTCAGTGCTGAGCCCAGCGAAGACTTCTCCATCACTGATGCCCAAATACACTGTCAGTGCTGAACCCAGCCAAGACTTCTCCTTTACTGATCCCCCCAATACGCTTTCAGTGCTGAGCCCAACCAAGACTTCTCCATCGCTGATTGCCCAATACGCTTTCAGTGCTGAACCCAGCCAAGACTTCTCCATCACTGATCCCCCCAATACACTGTCAGGGCTGAGCCCAACCAAGACTTCTCCATCGCTGATTGCCCAATACGCTTTCAGTGCTGAACCCAGCCAAGACTTCTCCATCACTGATCCCCCCAATACACTGTCAGGGCTGAGCCCAACCAAGACTTCTCCATCGCTGATCCTCCATACACTGTTGGTGTGGTTTCAGTGCTGTGCCCACACAGGCTTTTTTTCCCAGTCTTTCCTTCCTTCGCTCGCAGTCTTTCCTTCCTTCGCTCGCAGTCTTTCCTTCCTTCGCTCGCAGTCTTTCCTTCCTTCGCTCACAGTCTTTCCTTCCTTCGCTCCTTCTTACCATACATAGGGCTGATTGGAAGAGGTGGGCTGGGGCACGATTAACTTTGGATCCATTACGGTTCCCTTCATTGTGAATGCAGACTGTGCCTGAGCAATGGGGTCTCAATGATCACAGCAAGCAGAAGGAGGCATCACTGTGGTCTGTACCAATAAACACTTCCTTATAGCACAGTGTGAGCACAGGATGGTGAGGGGTGGCGAAAAGGGACAGTAGTCATCTGGCACAATTCGGTTCTACCATGCCCAGTGTATATATACGTAATAGTCTTCAGAGTATCAAATCTGGTTAAATGAACGGAAGCAGTCATATAGCCATACAACTTTCAATGCAATGTGATTGTCACACCATATGCACAATCCTATTCCACTACCACTAGAACTCGATCCCAAAAATAATTCTTTTATTTTAACCTCTATTAAAGTACTTGCAGGCCAGTTGCTAATTTGTTTTGTCATTTATCTCTTTTTAGACAATGATTTACAAGGGACAAACAGTATGGGATCCTTGAGTGGATTGGATGTCAGGCGACGAATTCCAATTAAACTAATTTCCAAACACCCAAACAAAAGTAAACTGTCACCTCGACCCCCACGAAATATGAACCGAATCCCTGCCAAGTCTCAGCAAGGTGAAGAAGGTATATTGTATTATGCTTTAGCATTTGTTTATTTCTGCTGTATACATTTTATTCTTTGGTGAATAACTTTGATTATTTTGTGTGTTCTCTTATACCTCAAATGAAAGCAGTTTCTTCATTTTACAAAGGGCGGATCTGTAGTGATCAGCAGAACTGGGGCAACTACTGAAAATGTAGAGGTTACATTTCTGTTCAGCTTTAAAGGTTCAGTCCACCATTTAGACTTTGTTTCATGTCACTGCTATATTTAGGTTGCAACATGAAATTTGGTCACAGACAACCACCTCCTAACCTGCCCCCCTTGCCTCAATTGCAGGATGCATCTTCTAAGAGCATTTTGGTTTTTTTTGTACATATAATTTAGAGCGGCTGTGTGTGCTTCTGCCAACACACAGCAATACGAAATCACCTGCACTCCATACAACGTACAGACTTTGGATGAAAGGTTGGTACTTGAAGTGACAACATGGATGGCGCCGTGTCAGATACAGCTCATAATAGAAGTCACCAGCACTCAATGATACGTGCAAGAAGTAAAGCACTTTTTATTAAATTGTCACATGTGACATGAAACGTTGGCTGTATGACGCATGTGACAATTTAAAGGGTTTCTAAACCCTCCGTTTTTTTTGCATAGATCAGCTGCTATCAAGCAGGAGATGTATGCAAAAAGTTTTTTGTTTTGTTTTAAAATACCACTTTAACAGCAGTTTAAACTTACCCCGTCTTTTCCGCGCGCTCCCGTCCGAGAATCCAAAACTGCATGGGCGGCCGCAAAGCATCTTGGGGCGGGCACATGCGCAGTTCGCATTTTTGACCAAGAGACGAGCAGAGACGCAAGGTAAGTCTATGGACGCGTGCACCCGCATGCAGACACCGCAAGGACAGAGGAGTCAGCGCTGGATCGGAGATCCGCCACACCGCTGGAGGGACAGATGAATAAATCAGAAAAGATCAGATTAAGAGGCATCATTTAAGGTAAGTGTTAACATTGGGGGGAGGGAAACATTTTTTTGACTTTAATGTCACTTTAATAAAAAGTGCTTTACTTCTTGCACACATCATCGAGTGCTGGTGACTTATATTATACGGACTCTTCTACCTACACAGCCGCATCATCCATTCACAGGAATTGATGAACGAAAATACTCCAACTTGCATCTGCCATGGTGGCGTAGGTGCTCAGCAGAACGTGCTGACAGCAGGGCAATGTCTTTGCACTTGTAGTCCATTCACAATAGCCTCCAGCTCTGTACAGAACCCGTATTGGGGTAAACAATGCATGAGCATTGCAGCCGTGACGCACTGATTGCACTGCTCTGCAGGCCTGAAAGCAAAAATGTAACAATTACATTTTTTTTTAAAGTATTATTGTATTCCTTTTTTATTTTTTCAAAAATTGTACTGTGCCTTTTGAAATGAATAAACAGATGCTCACAAAGACTGATTTGATGATTAAAAAAAGGACAAAAATGCCAGCTCTGTAGATCGCTCCTTGTAAAGCAAACACATGTTCGAGACCAAACCTCTTGTCTCTTTAGTCTCCAGTCTTCATGGTAGTTTAATTCTGCTGCTGTTTATTTTTAAACTGCTTTGTGACAGTAACACCCTCTGACCTGGTAAAACCAATCTCTATTTCTTTTTGTCTCAAGAAGGTTTTGATTATAATGAAGAAGAAAGATATGAAAATAAAGCAAGTGACATGTTTGGCAATCAGCGAAGATTTCCTGCAGCACACATATTTTGGGATTTTAAGGTACAATGCCAATGGAATATCTCTCCCTCTCTCCCCCCACAACATCGTACCCTGCCTGGGTTTCACTATAGGCTTTTATAAAAAAAAATGTTGCTAAATCAGACTTGTTACAATGAATGTTGTATGGGCTGATATTGGCAAAATGATTAAAGGACTATGAGGTGAGTGAATTACACTCATCCCCATAGTTAGAGCCGACATGTGACATTGAAACTGTCACAGGTCATCTCTATTGGTCGGGAAGTGAGTGAAAACATACCGCCGCTCGCTCACTTCCCGATCATCTCCCTGCATCATTCACCACTCCCCCGCAAAGATACCCCCCTCTCTCCTGATCCTCCAGCACTGACTGGAGGGACAGACAGGGGAGGAGGCGGGCATAGGTAGTGATACAACAGTGTAATGTTTCATTATTGTGAGTGATCCCAAAGATGCAGCAAGAGTGTAAATGTGATGTATTGCAGCTTACCAGCCTTCAGATGTGGTGGCTGCATTCGTTTTTATTTTACTATTTTCAGTCATTTTTGTTCTTTATTTTCACCTGGTGATCCTCCCAGTACCGCACTTCCTGTCCTAGGTTCATAACACTCACTTACTGTACTGTATCTATAAACTAGGAGTATTGTCACCCTAGGATGGAAAGTTGGAGCTCCAGAACCCCTCCACCTCTCCTCTGCAACATGGTCGGAGATGTTCGGTAGTTCACAGAGGGGACCTGGGCAGGAACATAACACTGCTTCAGATGACATTTGCAGTCAAGTGCACAGGCACTGGATTTTTGGCAAGATCAACTGATATTTTCTGCACTTAGTGAACAGCCATTACAAAACTTTTTCAACGGTCTATTTAACAAACCAAAAGGGAGCTAATGAGAGAAGTTTAAAGGTTTACAAACACTTTAAGACCAGAAACGTTCCAGTATTTACACTGGGTTCAAGGAGGTCATGTTTGTGTAAAGCTAAACTAACTTGTGATTTTCTCTGTCTTCACATAATTCTTATATTTGGGTAAACTTGTCATTCTCATTTTCTCAGCTAAACCTTATTGGAGAAAAGGAGGATACTCCTGTTCATTTCTGTGACAAATGTGGCTTGCCTATCAAGATATATGGACGCATGGTAAGTAATCGTTTAATTCTCTGAGCACGGTTATGGCTAGAAATGGATGTTCTGGTTGTGTGCCAACCTCTAGATAAAGCAGCGTATAAAGGAAATATGGTGCGAGGAACTCATTGTGTAACTAGAAAATTGGTGATTTTGTCTGTATTTGTAAAGTGAATAGTATAGAGCGCTATCTCAGGGGTGTGGAAATTTAAAAAAAAAAACTACTTGTCCAAGGACTAAAGCGGGGGCCAATCTACTTGTCCCTCATGACAATCTACTTGTCCTGATACGAAACAAAATGTAACCATAACCGTATTTAGCAATGCCAAGAAGAGCTTCTCGTTGGTCAGTGCCGTCAGGTGACTGCGCTGACCAACGAGTGCTTGAATTTTGCGCTCACACAATGCCCCATGCATGCGTTTATTCGCATGCAGATGATAGGGGTTGGTTTAAATTTTTTTGATTTTTATTTTACTTTTTTTTTTTGCTTTAGAATATTTGTTATTAGTTATTTTTTCCTTTATCGCCTTTTTTTATGTATTTACATTTGTATTATTTTTCTTCCATTTTTATGTGTTTACATTTTTAAGTGTTATATTTTTTTACTTTTTTTTTTTTTCACTTGAATTTATTGCTATCTCACACAAGGGTAACAAGCCCTTGTGTGATAGCCTTTGGAGGTGACAGGTTCTCTTTATTGACCCTATCACCTCCAACACAGGAGTTCTAGCACAGCACTGTGCACGTTCTCCTGTGACAGGGTGGCTGCATTCCTGTGTCACTGCACACACGGAGCATAGTAGAGAACCGTTCTCTGCCCTGCTCTGAAACCTAATTTTTCAGTGGTCACGGATCCCCCACAAGAGGGGGGGAGCCTGAAGACCACAGCAAAAAGGAAACCCACGTGCAGTGAGACAGGCAGCCGGGAGCAGTACACGGCTGGCCGGCCGCTGGAGCTACAGGAAGGGGGAGGGGCAGGAGGGGAGGGGAGCGAGGATTCAGGCAGGTTACGAGTGATTTTTTTTTTCTAAAATCACTTGTATAAAACGGCTCCCACACTACATTTAGCCGTGCTGCTTGCCCGCAGCCGGGCAGAATGTCGAAAAAAACTGCTCGCCCGAAACTGCCTGTCCTGGGCGTCGGGCGATAGGAATTCCACACCCCAGCTATCTGTTTTATATGTGTTGCTAGTTAAAGCGTATCTAAACCCAAAAACAAATGTAATACATTGCAGTGTACCAATCCTTAAATGTGGTGGCTGCATTCGTTTCTTTTTAGTGTTTGTTTTTTATTTTCACTTGGTGGGCCAGCCAGTAACACACTTCCTGTCTCTGGGTAGCTCCACTTTATGGAGGAGCAACATAGCCACCCTAAGACAGCAGCATTGTCACCCTGTGGGGAGGGTAGTGTTACATGGACTAGCAGATATGGATGTTCAGATACCAAGTACAAGTACAGATACTTTTTCCAGCTCCGTGACTAGACTAGAGAAAAATTCAAAAGTTAGGAGGCAGCTGTCATTTTTATGGAGCATACGGCGCTCCTGGGATTTGTACATCTCTGTTTTAATGTATGATTATTTTTATTTTGTTTTATACATATATATTCAAGATGCACCGATACCATTTTTTTTTTTTTCTTTTCTTTCAAGCACTGATACTTGTCCAAGTACTCCCATATACGAGTACTGATACATTTTTGTTTATTGTAATGTGGCAGTTTTTCTAAAACAATACAGACTAATGATTTCAGGACAGTGGTTGGGAGCCAGGTCCCAGCTGCAACCCTGGTGGTTCTTGGGAAAATGTCAAGTATCGGAACTGGCATCTTAAAGGAGAACTATGAGATGAGTGATTTCCACTCACCTCATAGTTGTAGCCGTACTGTGACAATGAGACTGTCACAGGTCGGCTCAGTAGATCGGGAGGTGAGCGAACACATACCGGGTTCGCTCACCTCTCGATCCTGTCACGGCTCTCTGCCGTGACAGGGGGAGGGGCTGGATTCCCCTCTCCCCGCTCCGATCTGCCAGCGCTGACTGGCGGAATGGACGGGAGGGGGCGGGTACAGCTGGCTCTGCCTCTATATAGGCAGAGCTAGCTGTCATTCACGCAGCTGGGCGGATCTGTCGGGATGTCCATGTCGGGATCCGCTCCGGCTGCGGCGTCTCAGTATACCGCGAGCTGTAGCTCGCGGTATACTGAGCTTAGGGTAACGGGAGGACGCTAGTTTGTGTCCTCCCGTTACCCTAAGGAGAACTATGGGGAAAAACACTGACCCCATAGTTCTCCTTTTAACATCCCTACTAGCAGAGTTAGATGAACTTGACTAAGAAATAAAATCTGATCTCCAGTGAACACTTTTTAAGCCGTTACAGCAACAGTTTTTTTGTTTCCCCTTTTGGGATAGAGGTTTTACATAAATAAAAGCTTAGGGGTAATCGCCCCCATCAGTGTTAACTGGTGTGTCTGAACTGTCTGTCACTTTTGCCGTACTGCTTGGCCTGTTAAAGGAATTTGAAAAATAGCAGACTTACTGGCTGGATCACCAGGTGAAAATGAAGGACTGTATTAATGTATTAATACAGTCCTAATGTATTATGGACTGTATCTGACACGGCGCCATCCGTGTTGTCACTTCAAGCACCAACCTTTCATCCTAGGTATGTACGCTGTATGGAGTGCAGGTGATTTCGTATTATCGTCCACAAACAAACAGGCACAGCAAGGCAAAACACTTCATTCTCACCTGCTCCCCTCTTCCCTTCTCCAGGCTAGTAGATAGAGATTGAGCTCACCCTTGTGATATTGTACTGACAGAAAGTTCAGGGAAGCAGAGCTGAGAAAGATGGAGCAAGCTTGTTTGGCAATATGATAACTGTAAGTTCTTGGGGGTAGAGCTGCAACAATTATTCGATTTAAAATCGGCGATGGAAAACGTTGTCAACGTTTTCCATCGTGCATTCGTCGGCTAAAATTCAAATTTCCCGCTCGCCGCTCAGCTATAGAGGAATGCAAGCAATAGTACATTTATACTATAACGTACTATTGCTGGGATTTGTAGTCCTTTGTAGCTGGGGTTATTCTGCACTGCGCTGCATATAATGTATTATTGCTGCGATTTGTAGTCCTCTATATCTGGTGGTATTCTGCAGTGTGCTGTATAATGATTATACAGCGCAATAGAGAATACCACCAGCTATAGAGGACTACAAATCCCTGCTATAATACATTATATACAACGCAATGCAGAATACCAGCAGTTACAGAGGACTACAAATCCCAGCAATAGTACGTTATAGTATAATGTTGTACTATTGCTTGCGTTTGTTGTATTCCTCTATAGCTGCTGGTATTCTGCATTGCGCCGTATAATCATTATACAGCACACTGCAGAATACCACCAGCTATAGAGGACTACAAATCCCAGCAATATATTATAGTATAAGGTACTATTGCTGCATTCCTCTATAGCTGTATATTGCACACCACACTTTTTTTTTACTTCCACCGCGCCATGCTTGCTCCCGTGATGGACATCAATCTCAATAGAAACTAGTAGTCCATCACTGGAGCATCCCCCCCCCCCGATTAATCGGACTCAATAATCGGCTAACTAATCGATTATAAAAATAATCGTTAGCTGCAGCCCTACTTGGGGGGAATGTAAAGAAATACTTTGCTGGGCAATGGATATTTTTTATGATCCGGATCAATTATTGCCAAAAAAGTTTGAGAGTTTAATACTACTTTAAGGATTTGTAAGCTGCAATATACAGACGCTACTCACTTAGCAACTGAGTTCCAGTCCTACAACTAGGTCGTTAAGTTATTTGGTAAGAGGAAATCTGGCTTTCAAAAGTTTTATTGTTTTCTTCGAAACACAAAATCACAAAACACACCGTTACTCACAAAGGAGGGGGGAAAAAAGAGAAAAAAAAAAAAGACCAATTACATTACAAAACACTGACATTGTAGTTTGTATCTGGCAGGTTTCTTAAATTCACCCTGCCAAGGTATAGATTGCTGGCCTTATCATGTTATATACATATGGTTTCTTAAGACCTCCTCATAGAAACTTCCTTATTGGTCCCCTTAGTGAGGATTCAATCTTGAATCGCTATTTTTCTCCGGGGTTTACTTTAAGCCCACACTAATAGCATTATTTTATTAACAAGCCAATCAGTAACCATTGATATTAATATGAAAATAGTTACTGCCATGAAATCCCTACCCAGCATCTTTAATACAGGACCATAGGCTCAATAAGCCTTTATTATGCATGAGTAGTGCAGCTATAGGGTTGCAACCCCTTACCAAGCAACCACCATGGGTGAGACCATACCATTCCAACCAAAGTGTTTTCCCATTCCCATCATGCCAGA